CATGGCTTTGTCCAGAAGGAAGTCGGACACCCAGAAGATGTCCAGCCGACCCAGTCTAATTAGCACATTAATTTTTTATTAGAATACATTCCTATACTGGAAATCTCATGATGTTCACAATTCTAAAGAATGCCTTCTTGAATGGTCAGACCTCATTACCCTCATAGATTATTCACCTGTAAATGTAGATGTTTTTGACTCCAAAGAATGATAAAGAAACAGGCAACATTGAATGAGAGAGGTTCTTTTGCTTTTTAAAGACAAATCTGGACACAATCACAGATTATGTATCAGCCCTATTAATTTATACCTCAGCTGGGAAAACTCTAAAGAACAGTAATTCCATTTATTTATAATGGAGGGGCTCATTATTTTTCCTCCTGTAAAACATCTGTTTTTATAGTCCTTCTCAGACCATATTAGTTAAAAGGCAGCATCTGTCAAATCAGGTTTTAGTTACATGGTTGGAGGTATTATTTTTTTTTGAATTGTTACAGAGAGGAAAAGAAAGGGATAGAGATCCAGAAACATTGATGAGAGAGAGACATCGACCAGCTGCCTCCTTTATACCCCCTATTGGGGATGTGCCCACAACCAGGTTACATGCCCTTGACTGGAATCGAACCTAGGACTTTTCAGTCCACAATCCAATGCTCTATCCACTGAGCCAATGGGTTAGGGCTGGAAGTATTATTATAAACCTAGTAAGGGTTACTTTAACCTATCTAATAAAAAAGAGTAATATGCAAATTGACTATCACTCCAACACACAAGATGGCTGTCCCCATGTGGTCAAGGATGGCTGCCCCCATGTGAAAACAAGATGGCTACCACAAGATGGCCAACAGAGGAGGGCAGTTGGGAGGAACCAGGCCTGCAAATGAGGGCAGTCGGGTGAAATCAAGCTTGCAGGGAGAGCAGTTAGGAGTGACCAGGCCAGCAGAGGAAGAAAGTTAGGGTGACCAAGCCTTCAAGAAAGGGCAGTTGGGGAGGTAGGCTTACAGAGGAAGACAGTTGTGTGGGGACCAGGCCTGTAGGGGAGGGCAGTTAAAGGTAATCAGGCCTGCAGGGGAGGGCAGTTAGTGGCAATAAGGCTGGCAGGGAAGTGGTTGGGAGGGGATCAGGCTGGCAGGGAGAAGCAGTTAGGGACAATCAGGAAGGCAGGCAGGCAAGCAGTTGGGAACCAACAGTCCTAGATTGTGAGAGGGATATCAGAGTGCCCATTTAGGCCCAAGTAGAATCAGGCCTAAATGGGCATTAGGACATTCCTTGAGGTCCTTGAGGGGTCCCAGACTAGAGAGGGTGCAGGCTGGGCTGAGGGACACACATCCCCGTGCACAAATTTTGTAAACTGGTTCTATAGTAACAATAATAATTATAATACACCTGTTTTTAAAACTATGTGTCAAGCATCATGCTAAGCATAATAACCTTACACCAAAATTCGATATAAACTCTAGTATTAACTTTATTTTCAAATGAGAATGTTTCATCTAGCTGGTTTGGCTCAGTGGATAGAGTTGTCCTGTGGACCAAAGGGCCCTGAGTTTAATTCAATTCAAAGACAGGTACACTGGCTGCAGATTCCTCTCCAGCCCGGTACCTGAACAGGGCTCATGCAGAGACAATCAATAGATGTGTTTCTCTCACATCAATTTTTCTTTCTGTCTTTCCCCCTATTGTCTACTCTTCCTAAAAAGCACTGGAAAAAAATATTCTCGATTGAAGATTAACAAAAAATAATAATAATAATAAAATAAAATAAAATAAGAAGGCTTGTTTAGCTAGGTTAAGTAATTTGCCCAATGGCATAAAAATAGTGACAGAGGCAAGACATGAATTCAATACACAGACCTGCTAATTTCTCAATCCCAAGAATAAATCCTTAGTTTCTCCACTCTGTTTAACCACCTCTGTGGCTAAATTGGTTTCCTAAAGTCTGAAAAAAAAGAAAGAAAATCCCATCACAGACACTTTTAAATATAATCAATTTAAATATTGCATCTAATAGGTGATAATATTAAGAGAATTACTGGTGCAATTCTGGAAAGTAGCATTTCTTCTAAGCAAGTATCCCTTATCTTTTCTTTTGATTTATTTTTTTCTCCTTGTTGACACAATAATAGCAATGTCAATAAAACAGCACGTTGAGACTTAGAACATTTCTTTCTTAGTATGAAGCAGTGTTATAAACAAGCCAACCAAAAACCTTACTATACATGTCACCTTCCCTTAGAGAAACTTTAATAGGGTGTATTTGTCGACAGAGAGAGAGAGAAAGAGAGAGAGAGAGAGAGAGAGAGAGAGAGAGAGAGAGAGAGAGAGAGGCAACAAGAGAGACACAGAGGGAGAAAGGCAAAGAATGAGGGATAATTTTTAAAGGCCCTATTGCATGACCAAATCAAACAAGAGTAAAATTCCATTATAATGACATCTAATGGGACAAATATATTATTTTCCCTGGTGATTTATTGAAAAGATTTAAAATTTTCTTAGACAGTTTTTTTTCTTATTAAAATAGTAAGATTTAGGTCATAGGATTAGCATTCCATTAGGCAGAGTTCACACTGCTCTGTAGAAATGATGAATTGAGGCCCGAGAGGGATTTTCATGGCAAGAGAACTGGTCTCTGCTAGTTGGAGCTTGTCCAGACCTTCATATCCTCAATAGATATGCTATGAAATTCACATTTTGTTTAAAGTTCCTATGCTACTAAAGCGCAAGATGTAAAATACAGGCTATGTTAGGTGTGATGCAGATGTGTGACTCACTTTGTTTCCTTTTCATAAAGGGTTAAAAGAATATAAAAAGAAATCACTTGCTTACTAAGTTGATTTATGCTAGTTCTTACTCTTAAAACATCATCTCCCTGTCCTGGTTGGTGTGGCTCAGTTGGTTGAGAATCTTCCCATACACCAAAAGGTCATGGGTTCAATTCCCAGTCAGGGCACATCCCCAAGTTGTGGGTTTGATCCCTGGTCAGGAGGCAACCAATTGATGTTTCTCTATCACATCAATGTTTCTCTTTTTTTCTTCCTTTCCCTTTTCTCTCTAAAATCATTAAAGATGTATTTAAAAATAATGAAAACTTTATCTCCCTTACTCATTTTCAAACCACATTAATTAATTATCAGTTTTCTTCTAGCATATTCAACCATCTATTTATCCAACTATCTACTTATATCCAAGCTACATATATAAAGCACAACCATATACTTGACAATGACTAAAGAAAGGTGATAAATATGGTTTGAAAAAACACACACACATACATATTCTTAGTGGCCAAATTATGATGATCTCTGAATGCATAATAATCTGGCCACTCAGTATATATAGATTAGAGGCCTGGTGCATGAATTCGTGCATAGGTGGGGTCCAGCCAGCCTGGCCATGGGGAGGGGACATGGGCGGTTGGTTGGCCTGCCTGCTGGTCGAACTCCTGGTTGTGGGAACAATTTGCATATTAGTCTTTTATTATATAGGATATACACTGAGTGGCCAGATTATTATGCATTCAGTGATTATATATATATATATATATATATATATATATATATATATATATACCTTTTTCATTCATAGTAATGTGGCAGTGATTTATTTTCTAACAAGATCCAGTCTATACCATAAATAATTGGGGGGGGGGCTGATGATGGGGTGGGAAATTTTATATTCTACATTTGTAAATTTTTATATCATAGAAAGTACCTATATTCACTGAGTGCTAATAAATATCATAGAAAGTACCTATATTCACTGAGTGCTGATAAAATTAAAAATAGCAGATTTCACAAGGTTTTGCATTGCCCCTAGGTCTGGAAAATATCTTGTGGGGTGGGGGGGTGAGGGGAAATGGAACTTGGAGTATTGGAGAGATAAGTTATATAAATTCTTTTTAAAAAATATATTTTATTGATTTTTTACAGAGAGGAAGAGAGAGGGATAGAGAGTTAGAAACATCAATGAGAGGGATAGACAGTTAGAAACATCAATGAGAGAGAATCATTGATAGGCTGCCTCTTGCACACCCCCTACTGGGGATGTGACCACAACCAAGGTACATGCCCTTGATCAGAATCGAACCCGGGACCTTTCAGTCTGCAGGCCGACGCTCTATCCACTGAGCCAAACTGGTTTTGGCTATATAAATTCTAATATCTTTCCAAAGTCAGCCTTAACTTCTGGCCTAATCGTGGGGAATTTTGGGGTCATAGAAAACTGAGTCAGGATATTTTGTGGCTTTCTAATCACTCATAATAGCTAATTTCATATCTACGATTGTAGTACACTAAGCAATAGTATGAATTTCCAACGAAGGAACTTTTGCTGTAGTAAAAGGTGGTTTAAAGTCTGTGACTACATTTTCTTTCATAGTCCCAGGTTCTTAACAATCCAAGATAAATGAACCGCCCTTGCCTTCAGTGCAAGTGAGGAGAAAAAATGCACATGCACACACCCTGGGGGAGGAAAAGGCAGCAAGTCTGAGCTCTCCTCAGTAGTTCAATTGAGGAGGGAGAGGCTCATCTGGCGGTTTGTGGGAGTGAATCTAATTATCAGTCTCTTACTTTCATTAATAGGTTGAAGCAAGTTAACTTCTCAAAGGAAAAAGAAGTAGACATTCTGCCTGAATTCTTAAACTACATTATGATTCTTTAAGCATCACTTTCACAAAAATAGTATGTGGGGTTTTATCCATCCTTCATAAGGCTGGGCAGGTGGGCTAAAAGTACCACTATGGGAAAGGCACAAACTGGAAAACATGGTTTACTTAGAGATGGGAGGGCAGAGCATTCTGAAAAACTGAAGAGTTAACTTTTATAAATCATAATGTACATCAGTGCAGTTCAATTATCTAGATGAATCCCCAGGTGAAAAGTTTCACTCTAATCCACTTTAATAGATTCCTATAATCTAGCATCATTTCTCTTTTCCACCAAAGGTAAAAGTTAATGTGGATATAGTCTATATGTTTTTAACCAATATTTTTGTTTGCATAGCCTTACTATCCAAAAATCTGATGATGACTATGAAGATAATGCTTCTAACAAAACATGGGTCTTGACACCAAAAGTTCCTGATGGTGATGTCACTTATATCTTAAACCACCTCCTAGAAGGATATGACAATAAACTCCGACCTGATATAGGAGGTATGTTGAAGTCTTTTTTTACCATGGTATGGATAGAAACTCATACACATGCCTGCCACATTAGAAGATAACACCAGCATATTTCAATAACCAGAATTATTTAAATGAAACCTTCACATGTTATATATATATATATATATATATATATATATATATATATATATATATATATATATATTGCATTCTGGCTTGAGGATATGATGGGCATTGATAAGTTCAAATGAGGAAATATGATTTTCAAGTGAGACTTGAGAGCTAGAAATTCAATATTTGCTAGATATCCCAGACAAAGGCTGTAGAAGAAAAGTGGCAAGTTCTTTATGAAGAGACATCCAAAAAACAAAAACAACAAGCATATTGTGATAAAGGAAGGATATACTTGTTACCTACTGCTGTGTAACAAACAACCACAAATTCTCAATGACAAATTAGAATAGGCACTTTCTCAGCACCTGTGAGGGGTGGTGATTTAATGTAAGCCAAACTGGGGTTGTTCGTTAAGGAGATCTGTACTCTCTCTTATTTTACCCCTGGGACCAGCACACTAGCTAGGAGTATTCTTCTCATGGTAATAGAAAAGAGCAAGAGAGAAAGTAGAAGCTCATAAGGTTTCAAGGCTTGTGGTTAGAACTAGTACACCACTTTTGTCTATATATTGTTAGCCAAACCCAAACAGATAGTCAATCCCAAAGTTTGGAGGCGAGAAGTAGCCTCAATGAGGTGACAGCAAGGTTGTAGATGCAGGGACTAGGAAAGAATTCAATCCACCACTGAGAATTAGGGCACACTTTCAAGGAAAGTGGATAAAAATGAGACATGTGTTGAATTGAGGCCAGGAATGATAATATGAATCCTTGTTCAATAATGTGAAATGAAAATTGGGGCATAAGCATTTGCATTTAGTCATAAATGTAACACTTCATAATTTTTAATATCAGTCTTCTTTGACAAATAGGTGTGTGTTGGGTTTCCATATGGTTTCCTCATATTATTTGATGAGTTACAGATTCCATGAAGACACTGAGGAAGATTGATTTAGTGTTGGTTAGAGGCATATTTGGATAAAGCAGTCATAAATGGAACCAACAGGTCCAATTATTCCAAAAACAATTCACAGTACTTGTTGCTCTTTATATTTATTTCATGTTTCTCATGCATTTTTTTTCTAGTAGCTATTTTTTCACTAAGTAGCTATTTTTTTTCTTTATAGGGCAAGTCAGGTAATAATGCCTGAGAATAGAGATTGAAGGGAAAAATGTTAAAATTCAGAATATCTGAAGAGGAAAAAAAATCTGAGTGTTGCTTATTTGTCCATCTTTACATAGTTTTGAAAGGATAACTAGTTTTGAAACTCTACTATGCTTAGTTATAGCATTTACATGTTAAATGGAAATATTTCATTGAAAACAGAATCATTTCAAAGAAGAGAATTAGTCAATGGCACCAAATTAGTTGAAAATAAACCACTTCTAAAATGGCAAAGTAAGTGTATTTCTAGAATAGCACAGATTAAAATACTGTACTTTTCTGTGGTTCTCTTTACAGTGAAGCCAACATTAATTCACACAGACATGTATGTGAATAGCATTGGTCCAGTGAATGCTATCAATATGGTAAGTTTCTAATAGTTAGTTTGTACTATTAGCTACTAAAAGGCCCATGTGGTATGATGAAAATAGCAATAAATATGCCAACAAAAAATTCAGAAGGGAGAATCTTTCCATTTTTCTCTTTTGCAACATAAGGATAATTTTAATGATTTATTATGAGAATTAAATGTGATTATATGTATAAAATTAATTTGTGTAAAATCTTATACTTAAAATTCAGTAATTATTTACTTGGTAAGTACTACTTACTACAAAATACAATAATAGGGCTCCACTATTTTTTAGAATAGTGTTGGTGTGGAGAAGGCATAGATTGCTTCAAAATCAGAACTGTTTCTCAGAGGTAATAATTGATTAGATGTAACAATAAATGCAAATTGTTATTCTATAACACTTTCTATCCATATCTGAAATGAGAAACTAAATTGGAGTCTATAGTATAACATTATATAATCTTATCTAATAAAAGAATACTATGCAAATTCACCATCACACCAAGACACAAGATGGCCTTGCCCATGTGGTCAAAGATGGCTTCCCCATGTGGACACAAGATGGTCACCACAAGATGGCCTGCAGGGGAGAGCAGTTGTGGAAAGTTAGGGGTGATAAGGCCAGCAGAATAAAGTAATTGGGTAGGACCCAGGACTGCAGGGGAGGGTAGTTGTGGGTGATCAGGCAAGCAGGAAGTGCAGTTATGGGTGACTGGGCCAGCAGAGAAGGGCAATTGAGGGAGACCAGGTCGGTAAGGGTGGGCAGTTGAGGGAGACTAGACCTGCAGGGGAGGGCAATTGGGGGGGACCAGGCCTGCAGGGGAGGGCAGATGTGGGAGGCCAGGCCTGCAGGGGAGGGCAGTAATGGGAGGCCAGGCCTGCAGGGGAGGGCAGTTAGAAGCCAGCAGTCCTGGATTGTGGGATCAGGCCTAAATGGGTAGTTGGAAATCCCTTAAGGGGTCCCAGATTGGAGAGGGTGCAGGCTGGGCTTATGGACACCCCCACCTCATGCACAAATTTTGTGTACTGGGCCTCTAGTAAAACATAACATCATATATTAAGACCTTAAAATAGTGTTACCAAGCTAGCAATTAGTACACTCTATTGAGTCAGAGATATGAGAACCTTTAATTGTTCTCATAATTCACAAAAATAAGCTTACTTATTTAACCATTAGACAAATGCCAATTTCTTTTTTCCAATTAAAAATCACAGAATATTTAGCATTTTGATGCACACTGTAAATCTAAGAAGAAGAAGCAGCAGCAGCATAGAACTTTTACTTTCCAGAATACTAGTTCTCAGAGCTACTGGTTTGAATAATCTTAAAGCTCTTATTTTGAATTTTTCTTACTTATTTGTATGTGTTTTAACAAAGTGTACATCAGAAATTGTTTGCTCACTCTACTTACTGACACATCATTAATTCGTTGACAAAGAATTTCACTATCTAGGTTCCTTTCTCATTATGTGTAGACTGCAAATATGGAATTAAATGGAGAACCAAGTGGCATGTCTTAGCCCAGTGGAAATGTAGTCAAGTGCAATGTGGTGTGGCAGCAGGATGTACTAGGAAATAATACAGAACAGTATGGATGAGGCAAAGTAATGATAATCAAACTGGAATTTGGGAGTTCTAATGCCAGGCCTCATTCATGGTCTGAATTCACATCATATTTAATTCTCTTTGATAACAGTCAATCACCACTTTGGTGGTATGTCCTTGAGGGTAATCATTGCGGAGTGATTAATCACCACAGCAATTTGGCATTTTGAGAATATGCTTTGTGACAGAGATTAGTAAAGTGTTAGAAATAGTCTTTTTAAATTGTTTTCTTTTTCTTTTTCTCATAGAAATATCAACTTGTCTACAAGAGATTGTGGGTCTCCTTAGCAAAGTCTTTGCTTTATTTTGGACTATTCAAAGTCAAAATGTAGCTCAAAATATAATAGTAATGAGAACAAAGATGACAAATACAAAAAAAATGCTCTATAATATAACCCTACTGTTTTACAAATATTGTGTTTCATCTTTTTCCTTGTAACAGGAATATACAATTGATATATTTTTTGCCCAAACATGGTATGACAGACGTTTGAAATTTAACAGCACCATTAAAGTCCTCCGATTGAATAGCAACATGGTAGGGAAAATCTGGATTCCAGACACTTTCTTCAGAAATTCAAAAAAGGCTGATGCACATTGGATAACCACCCCCAACAGGATGCTGAGGATTTGGAATGATGGTCGAGTGCTCTACACCTTAAGGTATTCTTTTTAAAAAGGAGTAATTGCTGGGAATAAAACAAAGATCAACCACACTCTCCTTAAGAACACACACACACACACACACACACACACACACACACACACACACAATGTCAAGCCAACATCAGGATTGCCATGTTTGAACAAAATAGTATGCGGCAGTACAAAATTAGTTTTCTTCCTGTTGTCAGTAAGCTTTTTCAAAGGACTAGGAATGGGTGAAACTTATTTTCTATGATTGATGTGAGAACTCTTTTTTTCCCCTCACAAACACATGCAATTTTCCTTGCCTTTGTAAGATCACCTGATTTTTGCATCAATCTTGGCTTTTGTGTGTGTGTCCTGCTACTTTAAAATATGGAAACTAAAACATAGTCATCCTAGGACTACCAGTTGTTATGCTTGGAAATGTCTCTGTTTCCAAGGAAACTTGCAAAAGAAGATTTTTTTTTTTTTATGCAGAAGCCTCCTGTATGTCTTTCTCTTTTTAGCTACAGAATGGCAAGCCCCTAGAATGAATTCCATCTCCTAGCACCAACTCCCCACTATACTGGTAGGCTGTTTGAATTAATTTACTGGCTATTTTGAAAGACATCTTTAGGGAAATCTTGGGGCTTTTTTATTTTTTGAAGTTAAACATATAATATTTGGGAGGTTTTTTATGCCATTATCTTAGCATATTATATTAGATGTATTTAAAATAATTCTATGCTGAATTTTTCCATTGGTGAGCATATATTACAAAACAATATAATAGAGAAACACATAGGCTTAAAAATTAGACAAACCTGGCTTCAGTCCCTAGCTCTATAGCATACTATATATATGCACTAGGGCAACTCTTCAGAATTTCTATGTACAGGACCTGGGGGCAGCTATCTGTAGCATGGGTCTTAGAGCTAGATAAAGGATAGATCTCATAGCCTTATTTGTACAGTAAGTTTGATGCTTTTAGTTGGTTACATTTTTATTTAGAGGATTTAGGTAGGAAATAATGGGGATTATTGGGAACAAAGGCATAACCACCCTACAACACACTGCCCATCCAACTGAGCTAACTCTTACATCTAATTTCTTTGATTTATATAAAATAGAGACAATGATTCTGATCTTATGGAGTTGTTAGAAGGACTAAAAGGGGTGATAAAGAAAATGCTTAGACTCTGATATATAGTAAGCACAGCAGATACTAAATTTATTCAAAATATTTTTAGTAAAAAATATAAATATGATTTTTCTAGGTCTTAGTATCCTAGAACTTTTAGGATACTAATGATTCATGTTAAATGCCCTTGTGACATATACATAATAATTTACATAATAGTCAACATACAAAATTAAATAAAATGGCTTGAAACCTTTATATCAGTTTAACAGAGTTGATCACTAGGGAAAAAATGGCTACAAGTATTGAAGAAAGTCATCATATATATTTTTAATTCATCATGAGTTTTATTAAATTAGAGATACAATAATGACTGTAATTTGAATATAGTGATACTAAGGTTTGAAAAAAAAATTGAGTTGGGGTCAATGAGAACCTACTGTTCAGTCTGTGAAAGTGAAGGGACCACAGTAAGTCTTAGTGCTATCCAACTGGACACAGTGGATTTCTTTAGTGAGAATCATCTTGTGTTATCCATAAGAATGTGAGACATACTCCCCAGGAATAAAGATGAAGAATGGTCATTAGAAAATGTGCTAATGTACATTTTTAAAACTATATCTAAAATATTTTTAGTTAGCTTTCATGTATTTCTGTTTAGGTTGACGATTGATGCTGAGTGCCAATTACAGTTGCACAATTTCCCAATGGATGAACACTCCTGCCCCTTGGAATTCTCCAGTTGTAAGTAACACTCATTCTGTAGTCTGTGTCTCCTCTCACCAATAGTCTAATTGCATTGTCAATTAATTGGGAGATTTACAGAAAATACAAAATTGCGTTAAACAATGTTGTTTTCTCTGAAGATTTTGACAGTTTCTTTCATCATAATACCAGCTTGGTCCTTTTAGAGTGATTCTTGCAGAAAATGATCTAATTTATCAGGAGTTACGAATAAGTTTCATTGATGTATAAACTTTTAATAAGTTGGCAGTGGTTGCCAGAAGACCTTAGTTGAAAAGAATTGTAAAACCAGGCCTTTGCTGAATAGAAAGGGGTAAAATGGATTATAATCTACCTCCCTCCATGGGCCCAGGAGAAGAGTAGCAGCACATTTGTTACTTATTTTCTCCCTTACCTGTCAAGATGCAGAGCTCTAACAGTGTGGTTTACACATTCCAATTCTGTTTACCTGTTAAAGACAACAAAATTAATAATTACCTCCCATCCTAGAGTTCTAGTAATACCTAGAACTAGATATCCACCAGTGAGTAAAAGACGGATTATAGTCATTCCATAGGTCCAGTTCAAATTCCAACTCTATCATCATAGACTTGAGCAAATTACTAAATCTCTCAGTCAGTAAGTCCACATTCCCACGTACCCAACAGAGCTTATAAGGCCTGCCCAGCACAATACTCTCTTGTTTGTAAAATGGTTGGTAGGCTATCCCAATACACAAGATTCAATAAAAAGCTCTATTATTTTTCTTAGTTATTGTTACCATAATCAGATTATAGACTGTAGTAAAAAGATCCATGATGATTCTAGCACAAACTACATTAAGCTTTAGTAACCTTCACTTATTTCCTACCTGAATTAAAAACAAATATTTGTCTCACCACTTGTTCAGCAAATGTGTTAGGTTGCTCACCTCCCCCTTTTTATTGATCTGCCAACTGTACATATAATTCAATGAAAACTGATTATGAATTTAATTTTTTTTATTTTCATAAATATAATTTCCCAGCCAGGGATTGAAGAGACTCCTAAGAACCAATTAAATCATAATAACCATCATTTAGAAAAATCAGTGATGAAAGAACCCATTATTAGTTTATCATTACATCAATTCCAGATGTAATGATAAACTAAATACAGGAAATATCACTGTATCTTATATAATAAAAACCTAATATGCTATAAGGGTCCAGTTGTTAGTTCAACCAATCAAAGCATAATATGCTAATGATATGCTAAGGCCACTCAACTGCTCGCTATATTGTGCACTGAGCACCGGGAAGCAGACACTCAGACTGATAGGTTAGCTTGCAGCTGGGGTCCAGCAGATCAGGACTGAGTGAGATGGGCTGGACATGCCCTAGAGCACTCCCGTGGTTCCTCCCCCGTTAGCCAACCTCCCAAATCATTCCCAGACCCCAATCATGCACCTGTGGGGTCCCTCAGACTGGCCTGCATCCTCTCATAAACTGAGACCCCTCAGGGGATGTCAGAGAGTTGATTTTAGCCCAATCCCGCAGGCCAGGCTGAGGGTGCATGAAATTTATGCACCAGGCCTCTAGTATCATATAAACAGGATTGTGCAAAAGTATATTTAAAGTTGTTCATATAAAAATACAATAATTAATAAATAATAATATAAGAATAACCTCTTCTTTGATACTCACAACTGTAAATATACTTTTGTCCCACCCTGTGTTTACAAAGGTTTCATTATAAAACTTATTTCATATGTTTTACTTCATCCAAGAATGGAATATTTTTTAAGTGAAAGCTTCCCCAAGCTTTAGGAGATTAGATTAATTTTCTTTTGATCTTTCAACTGGGATTACTTTTGAATCAGCTAAAGCTTAATAACTGGTGATTTCTGTGTCATGTCACCAATTGTCAACTGTCTTCTGAATCCAAACTCAACTTAATACTACTTATTGCTATCAAAAATTAAATCATAATTACATTATCCAGAGGAAGTTCCCTAATATCATCATTACTTTCCTCAGTTTCCAGCACATCCTGCCTCCAACCCCTGCTCCATCAGGGAATACTGCTTTCTCTTTTCCTTCTTCTTAATTAATAAGTACACAACAATCACAGAGTTGGACCAAAGGAAAAGAAAATGAAGAAAAGGAATACACAAAGAATTTTATGCTAAGTAGTGAGTCAGACTCCATAATCAAGACTCATCTTTCCATAGCATGATTAGTAGACAAATAGTTGAGATGCTTTCTAATTTTTTAAAATCTCTCCCTATTTAACTAATTTTTACTTGAAAGAGTTTATTGTATCATTTACTTAATAGTAATGTCTATCCATTAAATATACATTGATCATCAATTTCATGAAATAAGTATTATTATAACCACCATAAGGAAGCAAATGATTTGGAAAAAACATTAAGAAACTTGTCTAGGGTATTGAGCAAATAAATGGTACTGATAGTCACTGCATTATCATTATAGATTTCTGTGTACATTAAAATGAAATCCTCCCAGAAAATGAGAGAGAGAGAATAATTAATGTAAATGTTGAGGTTATTTTTCCCCACCATCTTCTTCTAAGGACACATGCTCTTCTCTCAATATTTTCTGTTTCTGCATGACTCTCAAAATTTTGCCTTGGTTGAGTCCCCTTCATGCTGAAACAATATCTTACATATGTACTATTCATACTGATCACTTATTACATCTTACCCCAATGTAGACTGCACATATAGTATATATTAAACCATGTATAGTATATTTGCTATACAATTTAAGTGACTTTCAGTGAAGATTTTAACCTCATAATTTTTAAATCAAACTTCCCATTAGAATAGGATGTCATTGTATTTATTTTCTCTATGGTGAAGCTCTATAGTCCAGGGTTCTCATTAAGTCATAATTTTATCCCTCTCAGCACATTCCTTGGTGTCTTGTTCCTGGAAGGTGGTTGCTACATATGTTCATTTATAATCATTTTAAACGGGTGCTTTCCCACCTCTTGGCAGATGGCTATCCACGGGAAGAAATTATCTATCAATGGAAGCGTAACTCTGTTGAAGTGGGTGACACAAGATCTTGGAGGCTTTATCAATTTTCATTTGTTGGACTGAGAAATACCACAGAAGTAGTGAAGACAACTTCTGGTAAGATGCATTTAAACAGAATTCTAACTCATCTTTTAAGAGCTAAAATTCTGGTGTATATGATTCAGAAGGCTTTTCAGTAGCTGTCTACTGGTGCTTTTCAGAAAATTAAAGTCTTTTAATTTACTAGAGAAAGTTATTATTGGTATTCTTGTATAATAGAATATATATAGAGAATATATATATAATAGAATATATATATATATATATATATATATATATATATATATGGATTTCAATCTGAAGCAAATTGAATTCAAATTGGATTAGTAAATTATTTGCTTACTTTCTTTATGTAAGAATAAGCAGTGATTATTTAAAAAGAAAATATTCATTAGTTATAGATATAATGCTTCTTTTAAGAAATGTTTCATAACATATTAAAATAGAAGCATTTAAAGTAATTGCACAGAAAAAAATCAATTGTGCAAAAATATAGAAAAGTGACCATGGAGAATATGGACTAATTCTCCATTCAATAAGTTAATATTTTGAACAATTCCATCACTGGTGTATCAAATAGGTCTGTGTTCAAACCCCAACTCCATCATTTACCAGCTGTTGATATTGAGAAAATTATTGAAATTCTTAGGGCATCAGTTTTCCCAGATAACCAATGTGAACAAAAAGAGCTGCAACAGGCTTACTATGTTTGGGAGGAAAATAGTAAAATGCTTCTAATCTCATATATAAACCTTGTGTTCTGAGATATCATTTATTAAGACATGTCTTTCCATAAGGTGAGCTGTTTTCTGTTGATTTACTTACATATACCTGATTTCCTAGGGATTTCCTCCCCCTCCCAAAGTTACCCCCGTCCTGGAACTTGTAAGACACAGTGACACAGTTTTGTGCTGACATATGGGGAATAAGGCCTTGGTCTTTTGTACAGAAGAAAATTTAAGGACTAATCAAAAATGAAATTTAGTATTCTACCTTCATAAAAACCAACCTCAAATTCAAAGAGCTATCTGGCCCTCACATTGTTATTGGCATTTTCAGATTTTTCCTAAATACTCTTTTATTTTGGAAAAAAAGAACCTGAATGAGGGTTAAAGAAATGTTCAAATACATACTTTTTAAAAAAGGGCTTTCTACTCCATTATTCACTAAAAAGCCTGATCATCAAGTACTAGAACAGTGTTTCATTTGGTGCCAAAAAAAGATTCAGGATTGCCTTAGAAGTAAAATCTACCATCTGTGGAAGGAAGAACATGTGTAAAAATAATCTCCAAGTCTGCACACTTCCAGAATGTGAAATTGAACATCAAGTTCTGTTGTATGTTCATATCTATAATTATTTCAGCACGCTAAAACAGAACCCTCAAAGTCATGACTATCCAATCTTTTGTTCAGTCATTTGAGCTGAGTTGCATTAAAACCAAAAGGTGGCGAGGAAGGGCCTAACATCATCCCCTTCCCACTGTCTCATATTGAGGATGATCTAGAGTATTTAATGTCTCTTAAAAGATGCTGCCAAAAGTAAGTGATCCACTTACTGAGAGCAGAGCAAGAAACATCATCCAGGTGTCACAAAGCTATTAATCTTCCTAGGGAAATCAAAGCAATACTGCATTCATATCAGATTTGATACTGAGTAGCATCTAATTGATCACTTCTACTTAATGCAAATTTTAATATATTAGTTAGCCTTTGCATTGGTCTTCTTGTCCAGTCCGTACTCTTGCTGGTTTGTATTTTGTGGGCAGTCCTGTTGTACAGTTGCTTCTGTGAAGAGGGCTGAACTGAAACTGAACACGAATGCTGAGAGGCAGCCTGCTTCTTGTGACGGTTGATTTTGTAATGGCTGGAATTTTCCACATGCTTTTTTGTTTGATGCCTGATGTCATTCGTTTCTTCAAGCATAGCTCCATAATTAGTTAACATCTACAGTTATGCTAACAACAATCTTGGAATATCAAGAACAATATCTAGTTCTAGTCCTTTTTCATCTTAACCATTTATTGCAATGTGCTTTTCTCCTAGACTTATAAGAAATGTTTTCCTTTAAGAGCTTCTGTGGGAATATTGCTTGAACTGGTACTTAGTTTACTGTAGGGGATTTCTAACCTTCAGTCATTCAAGCCTATCTTTCATGACTTTATTAAGCCAAGTGACTCTACTGCTGGTTCCTTAGTATTTTTTTTTCTTTAAATTGATTCATTGTTTTTAGTTATATGATTTTTAAAGAAAAGTTCATATTAGGGCCATAATTATAAACTAGAAGCATTTGATATAAATAGAAATTTGTATCAAAATTTCATTTAAAATGTTTTTATATTATTTAAAATGTTCTTAAATGTTAAGTGCATATACATTTGTGTTCCCCAGACTCGGAATATGTTGAAAAAGAAACAGAAAGAGAGGTATTAGAAAAAACAACAACAGGAAAATGCAGCTATTACGAAAGTAAAAACATACTTGATGTAAACAGGACAGAGAGAGCATTTCATAGGAAATAATTTTCTCACCATGGAGACAACCCATGAACCCACCACCCGGATCATCTCCTACCACCAGCTGATCTGTATCACACTTGATTAAAACATTGCCTTGGTGACAGTTTGATAAAACTTGAAGAATATCTTTAATCCATAGTTAATACATAAAAACAGATTATGGGTCCATAATTTCTTCTCCAATCATCATGTCTTCCTGGTTAGTCTATATCTGGAAATAGTGAGCCAGGCATGAACACTCAAAGAGTCACATCTCTGCCTCCCACACCTAATGAATCATGAAGGCGCTTATGAAATATCTTGTGTAACTGTCCTCTTTCAGTTGCCATTGCCACTGTCTTAGTTCACGATGCTGTCTGTTATCATCTGGACAGCGTTGGTAGCCTATAAAGTCCTTCCCTGTTTTTAATCTCTTCTACAATCTAACGCTTACTCATTAACCATAAAAGCTAGCATGTACTGAATACTAACTACATGCATCATAGCAAGCATTTTACATAAATGACTTACTTTAATTCTCATAATCACAGTCATAGTTACTATCATTAACACTGACAGTAACACTGTGGGTGAGGAAACTGAGATGCCTAGAGTTTCATTGACGAGCAAGGATCTTTATGAAAGATGGGATATAAATTCAAGAGGCTTATTGGCAGACTCGGGCTCTTAATCACTACACTATGTTACCCCCACCATGGCCCAGGTCTTCTGAAGCGCAATTTGCATCTTTCAAGAATCCAGTGCATTTCATGAAGCACAAGCTATTGTTCCTAATATGTGAGCACCTGATCTCAAGAACTTCCCAGCTTTGTTTTGTATAATTTGCCAGCATGTGATAAACTAATCAGTTATGTTTTCTTGACTATAACTAGCCAATCTCACTGAATCTCAGCCTCCTTTCTCTTTTAAATGGTTTCCCCACTCATCCCCTTCTTTGTGACTTTAAGGTTTAAATAAACAGCATCTCCTCAGTGAGGCCTCCACTCACCCTCTCACCAAAACAAAGTAAAACAATTTTTAAGAATGCGCACCCTTGGAGTCAAGCAGCTCATGTTTTAATACTGTCCTATATACATGATTTAATGTAATTTAGTTCAATAATATTGCTGGGTTGCTCTGAGGATTCAGTAAGGTACTCCATTAAAATGCTGAAAACTGTCTAGCACATACAATGTCTCAGTATATGAAAGGCATTATCATCATCATCATTATCCCATTAATTCCCCTCACAGCATTTTTCACCCACCATATGAAGTCATAATTTCTGCTTAATGTTGCTGGGCATTCATTTTTCTCCTTTTCTACCTCATCACTCCAAAAATTACCATATTTATGATGCTTTTAGCATGTAGCTTGCCTAGAGTTGTTGTTAATTAGTAGATAAATAGAACTGATTGTTTATGACAACTATATGTATAAAACTGTACATTTTCCCTCAATTAAATAAACAAGGCAGGATCCTAATGTGAATTTTTCTATCACTCAATGATTATTCTAAAGTAGAAGACTGTTTTTTTTTTTTTGGTCATGCTCCCATTTCTAGTTCACTAAATTATCTAACCCAATTTTTAATATCAAGCAGAACTTTGTTCCTTCATATTTTCAATGTGAAATGTGGGCTAGAAAAGAGGGAAAATTAGTTTTATAGGGGAATCTATCTATGTTTTTGGGATCCAAATGCCATCACAATGATTTAAAAATAATATATCCCAGTCTCCCATCTTACCTAATAATAGACAAATGAGTAAATTGACCATACCTTCACTACCCCACCAGCCAATCAGGAGTGATATGCAAATTAAACTAACAAAGATGGGGTTAATTTGCATACAGAGGTGCTGAGATACCAGGGTGGGCAGGATGCTTTTGTCATCTCCATGTTGAGGACACAGGCATTCTGCCCTATGCCTGGTCTCTCAGGGCCTCTGGGCAGCATGGTAAGGCAGGACTGGAGCAGAAAGAGGTGGCTCCAGGGCTGGGCCAGAGTGGAAAGGTGATGCTGGCAGCCAGGGAAAGAAAGGCCCATTCTAGCACGAATCTTCGTGCATCAGGCTTCTAGTATTAAATAATATATCCCAGTCTTCCCATATAAAAATGCCATTAAAACTTCCATATTGTGGCCCTGGTCAGGTAGTTCAGTTGGTTAGAGCATAATCTTCTTAAGCCAACATTGTGGGTTCAGTTTCCAGTCAGTGAACATAAAAGAATCTATCAATGAATTCATAAATAAGTAGAATGACAAATCTCTCTCTCTCTCTCTCTCTCTCTCTCTCCCATCTTTCCTCTCTCTCTAAAAGTCAATGAATAAAAATTTAAAACTCCCATATTGACTTTAGCAATGCAAACATCAGCATTTCATGAAATATCTTCATAATTTTTGTTTTTTACAAACCCATGTACATTAACTATTATTTACTTCCTTTTTGTCTTTAACATCTTTTTTATTTAGATTCCATGTCCTAGTTATATTTTCTTGGTTTCCAATGCAAGAAATACATAAATGTTAAAAAGTTCACATACACTAAATGAATCTTACTTTCC